TACAGTACTTACCTGAATTCATCAGCTTTCAGTGCAGGATCCAGAAACCACTCTAGGGATTTTAAGCAGGAAGGGATTTAACTCAAGGAATTATGTGATTTCGAAATCACTGTAAGGTCTGAAGTTGTCAGCTCTCAACAGAGCCCCTGGGACCGGGGATCCCTGAATAACACAGAACTGAGGCACCAGGGACTCAAGACTGCAACAGGATCAGGAAGCCACCAGAGCCGCCACCAACACTGGAGTGCAGAATGCCGCCGCCGCCACCACAACTGCCTGAAACATCCAGGAAATGGATGCAGATGATGCTGCAAGAAAGCCTCACATCTCTGTGACATCACTAAACAGCAGAAAACAGCCAAGAGGGGATGACGAAATGGTCTCCACTGAGCTCCTGCCTCAAATCTCTCATAATAAAAGAATTCGACAATACCAAATTCACATGCAGAACCCTAGCTGCAAGAGACTCTGGGAAGTGCATGCTTTTAAGGCTCCAGCTTCCACAGCAGAGGAAGGCACCTCGAGGGCCTGGAGGAAGAACGAGACAGCCCCCAGAACCTGCCACACCCCACTCGCTCACATGGTTGTTGAAGGTTAAACAAGGCAATCACGTAAGTCTGAGAATGGCACCTAGGAAGCAACTGGCGCTGCCTGCTATTCCCTGTGCTGAGGGCTCTGACTGTCCCATGTCCCATGTCCAGCCAGCCTGTTGGTAAGCCGACTCATCTCCCTAAAAAGAAAGCAAAGAACACATTTCTTCCTTAGCCCTGTTCATGTCGCCAAATCCCAGAAGCCTAGATCAGTACAGGAACTAAAATTTTGCTGAGTGCCCTCACAGCAAGTCAAAGTACCCATTTAAAGATTTATATTTCTTAAGCTGGTAGTTTCAGACTTTTCCATATAGCAGAACCTTAAAAAAAAAAGTGAAATCTGTGAAACCCCAGCAAAGGTGGAAGGCAGGGCCAGAAACCAAACCTGCATTCTGGGTCTGTGCTCTGCCCACAGCTTTACCTGTTTGATCTCCTTTAACCCTCAGAGCAACTCTTTACAAGAGGTACAATTAACCCAATGTCACCTGTACCCCTGGGGATCACAGAGGCTGAGTTTCTCGTGTGAGCTGAATGGTAGAGCTGAGGCTTCAAACCTGGATCTGAGCAGCCCCAGGTCTCAACCACCACACTCCTCGCCCATCTTTGAGTTACGACTCAACGCCAGGGTGAACCAGACGCAGACTGAGCCCCAAGCGGCTCTGCGCCAGGCCGGGAAGCAGACCGGAAAACTGCATCATTACAGCTCTTTACACACAGCCAGGTGCAGCGCCCCGTCCCGCCTCCCACAAGCTGCTCCTTCTGCCCCACGTCTCACTTGGCAAGCTTCTTCTCTGCATCCTTCAAAGGCAGTTCCAGCATCTCTCTTCAGCAAAGGATACTCAGTCATCTCTTCTGAGAGCTTAATAAAGGGCTACACAAAATATGTAGTCAGCGGCAGAGCTAATTACCACCTTCCAGGCCAGTGCAGATCAGCAGCCCTAAACCCTGGGCTTCTCACAAACAGCCCGGTCTCCTGTGGAACACAAGTCTATTACAGAATTCCTCTCACATCTGCTGTCTGGGCTTTGAGATAAATACGTCAAACTATACTGGGCTCATAGGATCCCTTAACACAGTCCCTCTCCTCTATACAAGATGAGGACCCTGCTCAAATTACATTTCAGCAGTAAAGTTCCTTCAAGGAAGCAATTAAATACCAACATTTACAACCCGCTCGCTCAGTAGTTCTCAAAGGCTGGGTGGTTTTTGCCCACCCCACTTCCCTGGGACATTCGGCAATGTCTAAGGTTATTTTTGGTTGTCACAACTGGGAACTGCTACTGGCATCTGGTGGATATAGGCCAGGGATGCTGCCAAACAGCCTTCAATGCACACGACAGCCTCCCCCGGATTCACCCATCCCAAAATGCCAACAGTGCCAAAGTGGGAAATCCCAATCTAACTTTTCCAATAATGGGTTGATTTAAGTAAGCACAATATCGGGATAAGAACTATAAAAAGCTTTTAAAAAATGTTTTTAGAAATGATAATTATTTGTATTAGAATCATAGATCGCTACTACTTGCGTCATGCCAGGAAGTGTGCCAGATGCTTTCCCTATTTGATCCCTAACCTTGCACAGTAGTTTTATGCCCCACTTTAGGCTCAGAGAGGTGAAGTAACTTGCCCAAGATCACACAGCTATTAAGTAGGGGAGCTCACACTGAACCCAGCCAGCCT